TTTTTATTTCTGTTGGTTCTGTTGTGACATCACCCATGTAGTTTATGTGTGTTTTGTCTTCTCCCTCTTTTCTTTTGTTAGATTTGCCAATAGTTTGTCAGTTTTATTAATCCTTTTGAAGAACCACCTCCTTGTCCTGTTGATTCTTTCTATAGATTTTCAGTTTTCTATCTCGTTTATTTCTGCTCTAATCATTATTTCCTGTCTTCTGTTAACTGTAGGTTTACTTTGCTTCTCTGTTTCTAGTTCTTGGAGATGTTGTGTTAATAAGTTGATTTTGGTACTTTCTTCTTTTGGGATGTATGCATTTATTGCAATAAATTGTCCTCTCAGCAAAGCTTTTGCCAAGTCCCATAGATTTTGGTATGTTGTGCTTTCATCCTCAATTGTTTCTAATAACTTTTGTGAATTCCCTTTTTATTTGTTCTACTTCCCAGTAGCTTTTCAGCAGCGTGTTATTCAGTTGCCATGTATTTGACTTTATTTCCTTGGTCTTCCTATTGTTTTCTAATTGTATAGCATTGCAGTCTGAGAAAATGCTTTGTAGTATTTTGATGTTTCTAAATTTATGGAGGCTTGTTTTGTGGCCTAGCACATGGTCAATTCTGGAGAATGTTCCATGTGCACTGGAAAAGAATGTGTATTGTGTTGTTGTTGGGTTGAATGCTCTATACACATCTATGAGGTCAAGTTGGTTAATTGTGTTGTTTAGTTCCTCTGTGTCTTTGTCATTTCTTTCTGGTTCTTCTATCATTTTATGACAGTAGTGTATTAAAATCTCACACTATTATTGTAGATTTGCATGCTTTTCTCATGGTCACCTTGGGGTTATGGATTTTTAAGAGGATTTTTAAGAACAGCACTGTTCCCATCAGGGATATGCTATCAATGTGACTTACCACTAGTTATGTTGAACTGTGCTTTTTGAGATAAATGGCACATCTCAATTAGGCATGCGTTTGAGAACAGAAGAAAATTCACAGTAACTTTCAGTTCAACAGAGCACCTGGAATGACCTAAGTTGTTTTGAAGATGAAGGTAATTTTTTTAAGGTAGATCACCTCAACTTTCAAATATACTAATATATGGAAAGCTATCATTAAGATGAGGGAGCATGGTGGCTCCATTAAATAAGCACTGAACTGTGAACCACAAGGTCAGTGGTTCAAATCCACCAGCTACTGCATAGAAGATAAGGCTTTCTGCTCCAACTAAGTTTTAAAGCCTTGGAAACCCTATACAGGGTAACTGTGTCGGAACTGACTTGAGGGCTCACAGCAGCAGCAACAGCAGCTATTTATTTAGATATGCACATGGTGTGGCGCTGTGGGTTAATGTGCTTGACTGCAAGGTAGGTTTGAACTGCAAGGTCAGTGGTTCAAGCTCATCAGGTGCTCCTCATAAACCCTATACAGGGTCGCTGTGGACCGGAATCGACTTGACAGCACTTAACAATGCGTAAAAGTGATAGGAACTGCAGAATGTGCCCTTTGGTTGTTTAAATGATTATATATTCCTGAGTGTTTTTATGTAAATCCAAAAAAAAAAACCCCAGAAGGAATAGAAGCAAAGACTATTGAATGATAATGCATTGAGGGGATTGTAATCATTGCAATGAAATTAAATACGATGGGATGAGTGTAAAATCAATGTTCTCCCATGTAAACTATCATTCAATTCACAATAAAAACTTTAAAAGAAAAAGTGATAGGCAGGACCTACACCAAAGTTAAATATATGGGGTTCTAGTTCTTTTCACTATAGCTATAGAATCCCTGGTGTGGCACTGCAGGATAATGCACTGGACTGCAAGGTCAGTTTGAACTGCAAGGTCGGTAGTTCAAACCCACCAGCCACTCCTCAGAAATCCTATATAGGGTTGCTATTAGTTGGAACCGACTTGATGGCACTAAATAACAACAACAGTGTATATCCAAGAGAAATGAGGAATTAGTACAGACACCCACAAAAAAAAAACCCTTGTATAAAATGTCAGTTTAATTCAAAATAGCAAAAGAATCAGCCTCAGAGTAAAATAGATATATAAAATGGTACCATATTTTTTCAATGAAATTCTGTCCAAGAATGACAAAGAATGCACTACTGCTACCCACTTGGATGCATCTCACAGACATTATTTAAAAGTCAGACACAAAAATCTTTAATTCCATATATTTACAATTCAAAAACAGGCAAAAGAAACCAATGCTCATATAAGTCAGAATAGCAGGAGGGGTTAATAAGGAGGTGGCATTAACAGAGACTTGACACTGTTACTTCATCTTCACACTTGTTGTTGTTATGTGCCATCGATTTGGTACTGACTCATAGCGACAATATGCACAGCATGACAGAACGCTGTCTGGTCCAGGACTGTAGCTACAAGGAAGTCTGGAAAGCTAGTCCTCACAGCTACTCTTTTCTAGTTCTCACAGGTGGTGCTCACAGTAATGTGGGCTGTACCTCTTGATCCTCATGGAATTGAAGTCTGAATAATAACCTTTGTTTCAGGAGGCAACCCATCTATTTGTTCTGGGTGGGTTTTTTTGTTTTGTTTTGTTTTGTTTTTAATGTTCAGTGGTTCTTAGTTTCATGTTCAATTTTCTCCTTCAAGGTCAAAAACTGTAGTCGACATTTGGAACATCTAAAGACTCTCTTGTTGCAATGCCTCCAATAATGATTCATGTATGGTATTGCAGTTTTGAAAATTTTGAGACAAAACAGACAAAGCAAATTCTTAGAGTTTTCATGACAGATTATGAAATGGGTTTCCACTTCAGTAAACGTCAGTGATTTGTAATTGCAAACCTGACACATGTAGGGCATTTCACCAGGCTTGTGCATATCCTTCATATGTTGTAAAAAGAGAGCCTGGTCTGTTTCGAACGACAACTCACAGATTTTACAAACTGTGGAGGGTTCCTGTGTGATGTACACATTTTCAATGTGACACTGTAGCTGGAAGGGAGTGGGAAATGGCCGGTGACAATGTTGACAGGTAGTGTGGATGTCCCAGCTATCACCTTTCTGCCTCTCACGTTCCAAATGGTGCTTCATGTGTTTCATAAACTTCACATTTTTTAGAACTTTCTGGCAGCTGAGGCATTTAAAGCTTGTGTGAGTTTTCTGTTCTGGCTGTTCATGTTGTCTGAAGTGAAAGTCACAAGGAGACACCATTAGATTTCCTCTCTTGGAATCAAAAGTCTTGTGTTGATATGCTATTCTTGAAATACCTGTTTCCACCAGTCCTTCAAAACCATTTTCTATGACTGGATTCTTAAGATTAAAATACATCTTATCATTTTCACAAATCTGAGGAAATGGTGCTTCATTTGGACCATGACTTGATGAAGTATGAGCATCTCTTGAGGGTATACTAGTGTTCATTGTAGGAGAAATACATGATAGGATTGCATGACTGAGTTTAAGCCTTTTGGCATTCCCACTGTACCTGTCAGAAGTGGAAAGTTGCTTTGAATCATGAGGACTTTCATTTGTACCTGCTACAGCGAAGGCCATACCAACTGTCTTCTGTGTCCACGGTGAGAGCAAATTTGAATAATTATGAGACACGATGTATGGTGGTCTCCTTTTGTAAGCAGGTGTGGATGAACAATCAATAATTGTATTATCTCTTGATCTTGATTCAGGTTGAGAAACTGGCCAGATGGCCACCTCTTTTGATGTGACGATCCCATAATTTTCAGGCTGCAATGTATGACCAGTGGCTTGTATAGGGTGACCTTTTTTTCTTTTTGGGTAGGCACCTGGGGTGGCTCTGTTTAAAATGTTTGAAATGACTGGTTTTGGATTTGAAATCACCCTGACAAAGTTAATAATTTCAGCATCCTTGTTTACATGATATACCCCAGTGAAGAGTAGTTCAGCATCTTCATCGTCACAGTTACACTGTTTGGATTTGTTAACACTCTTCTGTGGTTCTGCTTCTTGTTTCACCTTATGCAAAAAGAAAGCTGCCGTTTTGGATTTTTTGTTTGTTTGTTTGTTTGAAGCAAATGGTCCCTTCAGCTTCCGGTGCTTTCTTTTTACATAAATTGCCACCTAAGTACACAACACATGGTTTAAGTCAGTATTTATTTATTTAGGAAAAAAAAATCAGTATTTATTTAAACCATCCCCAGAACACTGAGATAAGTATTAGCATCCCTATTTTACATGTCAGAAAGTAGTATGAAGCAATTTGTAACTGTGAGTAAGTTGGAGTGTCTGGGTGGTACAAATGGTTAACCAAAAGATTGAAAGTTCAAGTATACCCAGAAACACCTTTGAAGACAGATCTAGTGATTTACTTTTGACAAAGCAACCATTAGAAACTCTATGGGACTGATGTTACGTGGAGGGGATTGCAATCATTGTAATGACGCTATATGATTTGGTGGATATAAAACTGATGATCTGCTCTATAAACCTTCACTCGATTCACACACACAAAAAACTCTCTGTGGAGCACAGTCGCACTCTGCAATACACATGGGGTCTCCCTGAGTCGGGCCCAACTTGACAGTAACAACTGGTAAAATTAGAGGTTAAGTCAAGATTAAAATCTTGGTGTATTTGATTCCAGAACTGGCGTTTTGAGCTACAGAATGTGTTCCCTATTCTAGCATACTAGCGTTGCTACGAGGAAGCCACCAAGGAAGGAATACTTGTAAAGTATGCAGTTCAATCCCGGTACAATACAGGCTCTCATACTCTCTAGGTATACAGCTCCATGTCGTCTCCAAATGCTGATGACTCCAAATTTCTCTCCCTAGTTGTGCAATCTGAAAATGCAAGTTAACTGCTCCACATGCTCTCTTGAGTGAATCAGGTGAGGAGCCCAGAAAGCAAGATTTATAGAGGCACAAGTTGTACAATTCTGCACCCTGGGCATCTCATCCACTTCCAGGCATACTCTTGAAGATATCTAAGATTTGCTTCTAGAACATATGAGGGGGCTTCAAAAAGTTCATGGGGGGAAAAAAAACAAAACTATTTTAATTACATTTTCTCATGAACTTTTGGAAGCCCCTCATATAGTAGGTGTTAAATCTTTGTTAAATAAATACAATAACTTATGTGTACAACAGACTCTAATCCAATAGTTATAGGTTCTCTAAAAATGTAATCAGATTCAAAATCTGAGCTACCCTTTCACTTCTAGTAGGATGACTAAGATAAAAAAAAAAAAAAAAATAGAAAATCGTAAGTGTTGGAGGGATAGAGAAATTGGAACCCTCATCCATCGCTGGTGGGAATGCAAAATGATACAACTGTGGAAAACAGTATGGCAGTGATGACAGAACCAGTAAATGAATTACTAAACAAAAAACCAAATCCACTGCTTTCCAGTTGATTCGAACTCATAGCGTCCCAATAGTACGCAGTAGAACTGCTCCATAGTATTTCTGAGATTGTAAGTCTACAGGAGCACAGTTTCATCTTTCTCCTATGTAGCAGCTGTTGGGTTTGAGCTTCAAGGCAATGCTTAACCCACTGTGCCACCACTCCTAGGTATATACACTAGAAATCTTTTATGGATTAAATTATGGCCCCTCCAAAATATGTGTTGTAACTCTTAACCTCTCACTATGGATCAGAACCAACTCAAAGACACTTAATAACAGCCGCAACATTATCTATGGTTATAATCTCATTTGAAGGAGCTCTGGTAGCATAGCGGTTATGAATCGGGCTGCTAATCTCACGGTCAGCAATTCGAAACTACCAGCTGTTCCTCAGGAGAAAGATGAGGCTTTCTGCTCCTATAAAGATTTATAGCCTTGGAAACCCTGTACATAACAACAACAATCTCTTTTGAGTATGGGTTGTCTTTAAGGATTAAAATGTCTATAAATCCAGCTGGGATAGAGTCATGATCATTCATTTATGGCTGTTTTTTTCTCACTACAAGAGGATTTCAAAACATTTGTGGAAAAACTCCATTATCTTTTAATTCCATTTAAAAGATACAGCAGAGTTGAACAACTGTAACAGCGACTACAAAGGATAGAATATCATTTAGAGGTCCTGGGTTCGATTCCCAGTCAGTGCAATTCCTCAGTAGAAGCTTGAGGACTGCTATGAGATTGACTAGGCTTCAGTAGAGCTTTCAGACTTAAGATGGACTAGGAACAGAGCCTGGTGATGTACTTCTGAAAACCAGCCAATGGGAACTCCAAGGATCACAGGGGTCTGGTCCCATTGAGCATGGGTTCACCTTGTGCCTGGGGCAACCTGACAGTTCCTAATAACAGCCCTTTACAAAAAACAGACTCTTGGTTTAAGAGAAACAGACTAGAGGATGTCTTAGCTCACCAATTCCTGAAGTTGTATGTCCCAGTGATCCAGTGTTAACCATTTTGGGGTACTTCTACTTCCTGGAGGAATGGCTTCAGAGTTCAGAAATTGCCTATGCCTGAAGGACCCGATTTCTTCCTCTCTGAAACCTCTGCCTGACAAGAAGCCCCTTTTAAAACTTTTTTTTAAAGCTCACATAATCCAATCAGAATCATTGAAGCCTGGCTCCAATCACATTCTAGAGCTAGCTTGACCTGACTGGATTTCAGATTGTGATGAAAAATGATTGTTAAACCTTTTATTTAGATTGAATTTCAAAGGAAAGAATGAGGGAGGGCCAGGCACAGGGGGTGTATGGCTAGATTGGTCCAGGTATGGGAGCCTCCCTCTCCTTTCTGGATTATCTAGGGCACTACCACCCTATCTTCAGGTCCCTTGGGTCCTGAGCTATTTATGGGGTGAGCACAGGAATCAGACAGGACTTGAAAGCACGTAGTAGTTGTTTTGATGTCCTGCATGATGGCGATCTGAGTAGTGTGCCTTTAAAAAAATCAAGCACTTATGTGAGACCAAATAGTCAAAATTGTCTAGAATGTACAAGGGCAGGAAACTAGATTAATTGAAATGGAACAACCAGAAGGGAAATAATGAGAATGCTTACACATTGTGAAGAATGCAACCAATTGTTAAGTGTCATCGAGTCAATTCTGACCCATAATTTGTGTAGAAATGTGATGCTGTTATTGTTAAGTATCACCAAGTTGGTGTGGACTCAAAGAGATCTTGTATAAGGTTTCTGAGGAGCAGCTGGTAGGTTTGATCTGCTGACCTAGGAGTTAGAAGTCTAGTGCTTATCTTACAGCACCACACCAGGACTTCAATATGTAGAAATGGGTTGTCGTTGTGTGCTGTTGAGTCAGTTCCAACTCATAGCAACCCTGTATAGGGCTTCCAAGAGCTGCTGGTAGGTTTGAACTGCCAATCTTATGGTTAGCAGTTAAGTGCTTATCCTACATTACCATACCAGAAATGTGTAGTAGAGTAGAAATGCTGCCTAGTGTGGTTCAAGGCTGCGACATTTGGAAGCAGATCTTCAGGACTGTCTTCAAGAAGTAGTTGATTGCTTAACCATTTGTTTGTGAATCCAGGGACTTCTAAATGGAGATGTTGTTAGGTGCCCTCAAGTGAACTTCAATTCACAGCAATCTCTTGGAGTTTCCAAGGTTGTCATCTTTAATCCCACAGAAAGACTGGTGGATTGGAACCACCCACCTTTCTGTTAGTGATTAATTACTGTGCCACAAAACAGAAGTCTTCACAAACGCAGGAAAGCAATCACAGATCATTCCAGCTTGGGGAAATCCAATCTGCTCCTGCCCCAGCAGCAGTCGCGGGAGGATCTCACATCAAAAAGAAAAAGATGGTTTGCCCTTGAAGACTCCCCTCCCACAGGATTCCTGAGGCCCTTCTCTAGTCTAAGGTCACATCCTAGCTGGCTCTTCTCTCTTCTCCTACTCTCCCCGCCCCTTCCCCCAACTTCCCTCCCACTGCTCTTATTGCCCTTTACATGCTGATCCCTAAGATAGGGAGGGTTTCAAGCTTTCCAGGACAAGTCAGAAATATTTGTAAAACCACACCTTCAAGTGCAACTGAGTCACAGAATAAAAACAGCAGTCCAATTTAGAAATTAAAATATTCAGACTGAATTACAACTCAATGTAAAGAAAAAAAAAAAAAAAAACTCACATGACCAATAAGCAACATCATGAAACAGAAAAAAGATTGAAGTTGTTAAGGATTTCATTGTGCTTGGATCTACAATTACTGCTCATGGAATCAGAAGACAAGAAATCAAACAACAACATCATGTTGTGTTGTGAAGTGCTGTAAAGTCGATTCTGACCCATAGTGACCCTGCATAGGATTTCCAAGGAGCAGTTGGTGAGCTTGAGCCACCGACCTTGCAGTTCAAACGACTTTGCAGTCTGGGGCATTAACCCACAGCGCTACACCAGGACTCCAACAACATATTACATTCAGTAAATCTGCTGCAAAAGATCTCTTTAAAGTGCTAACTAGCAAAAATGTCATTTTGAGGACTAAGGTGCGCCTGACCTAAGCTTTGGTATTTTCACTTACTTCATATGCATGTGAAAGCTGGACAATGAATAAGGAATACCAGAGAATTGATGCATTTGAATTATGGTATTGATGAAGCATATTGAATATTGAATTGACTGTCAGAAGAACAAACAAATCTGTCTTGGAGGAAGTACGATCAGAATATTCCTTAGAAGCAAGGAGGTGAGATTTGGTTACTCACACTTCAGATATGTTATAAGGAGGGACCAGTCTCTGGAAAAGAACATCATGTTTGATAAAGTAGGTGGTGGCTGTGTGCCGTGGAGTCGGTTCCGACTCATAGCGACCCTGTACAGGGTTTCCAAGGCTGTAAATCTTTACTGAAGCAGAACGCCTCATCTTTCTCCCACGGAACAGCTGGCAGTTTTGAACTGCTGACCTTGTGGTTCACAGCCCAATTCGTAACCACTACGCTGTCAGAGCTCCTTTGATAGAGGGTCAGCCCAAACTAGGAAGACCTCCAACAAGATGGATTGACAACAGCAGCTGCAACAATGAACTCAAACATAACAATTGTAAGGATGGCCAGGGTCACCTTGAGTTGCCACTTAACAAGGAATGTCATGATCTCACATACATTTCCAATACCTCCTTTCTATATAAATATGCTAAGAAAGACAAAAACTCACTCCTGTCTAATTTATTCTGGCTCAGAGTGGCCCTCTAGGGCATAATAGAACTGCTATTTAAAGGTTGCTGAGGCTGTAAATCTTTAAGACAGCTTCATTTTCCACCCACAGGGTAACTGGTAGGTTTAAACAATCAGCCTTGCAGCACAACACTAACCTACTACATCACCAAGGCCCCCCATAGAGAAATCCAGGTTGTATAAGCTATATAATAAAGGGTATTAATCTTGTCTTGTTGTTGAGTGCCTTCAAGTTGGTTCTGACTCATAGCAACCCTGTATAGGGTTTCCAAGGAGTGGGTGGTGAGCTTGAACTGCTGACCTTGTGGTTCAAACCGACCTTGCATTCCAGCGCATTAATCCACAGCACAACACCAGGACTCAAATTTCAAAAAGCTGAGGGCATTTCCTATAAGAAAATGGTATTGAATCAAACAATAGGTTTAGGCAGTAATGTGCCCTGGACAGTGCAGAGGGTTAACAAATGGGAGGAGTCCACCCAGAGGTGCCTAGGAAAAAAGATCTGATGTTTTCCTCCTGAAAAACCAACCATGGGACAGGGAGTGGAGGAAGGAGGAAATGATGTTACTTGTTTTTTTCTGGTTTCAGCCACCTGGCAGTGCTGACATATTGTTGATCTGCTTTCCAGTTGAATTTTACAATCTGAATTTTTATGCTGTCTCCCAGTTTTAAAATGTTAGTAAGTAATATGTAGTGTTTTAAATGTGACAGATCCAAGTAAAACACATACTCTGTGGCCCCAGGTGGTATGAACCTATAGTTTGGTGGCTCAAAATCATCCAGTGGTTTGAAGAAAGACAGGCAAGGAACTCTCAAACTTGTAGCTAGTACCATTTTGGCCTAGTTTGAATGACTAGCTGACCAGAATCTGGCCAGATGAAGATTAAGGTGCTTGATACTGTGAGCAAGTGTAAATTGCTACAATTTGATGAACTGGATTTTTACTTATGGATGCAGCTGTTCAAAATTCCAACAAGAATAGGTAGATTCTTCCTATCAAATAACAAGTTTGTTAACTCAGTGTACTGGGATGATAGGAACAGGCAATTTAGACATTGGCTATCAAAAAAAGGGAGGGGGCTATAAAGGCATGAAGTGGCTGGCGTACAAGCTTTCATGAGTGTGCTTAGTTTCAGAATGAGGTGGAAGGTGTAAGGTAGACTCTCCACTGAATTGTTTCACTCTTTTCCAGATGTATCTGGATAAAGGGAATGGGGAATTCAGTTGTAATTGTTAGCAGGACTAATTGTGATCCTCACAACTGTAATCGTAGAAGATGTGTAAATAAAAGGGGGGAGTAGTTAATCTTTCATTTCAGGAGCAGAAGGTGGCCTGACAGAGCAGATTCACACTGGGGACAGGAAAGATGTGATTCCTTCTTTTTTCCCCCATGCTCTCCTAGTGAACAAAGGTGTGATCCGTTCCCACCCTCATCCATCACCAGATGAAACCTTGCTGTCCAGGAGCTTGCTTGGGGTTGGGAGCCATGTCAGTGTGAGGATGGTGCTGGCGGTGCCACTTTGCTGCCTGGATCCAGGCGGGTTCAACTCCAGACTTACAGAATCTGCAGAGCCACCAGACCAGCATTTAACCAAGCACCCTACCCCCAGCTATTCTGTGATCCTAACAGACCGTGAAACCCCCTCATCAACGGTCTTCACAAACTACTTCCAGGTTGAGTACCCCGAACACCTATCTGAATACCAAGGCATATAAGAACTCCATCAAGGGCCAGAAACTATTCTGTCACATACACCCACACCCACTTTGTGAGTTCCTTGGCTTGCAGTTGTTGTTGTTGTTATATGCCATGGAGCTGGTTCCGACTCTAGCAACCCTGTACAGGGTTTCCGGGGCTGTAAATCTTTACGGGAGGAGGAAACCTCATCTTTCTCCTACGGAACAGCTGGTAGTTTCGAACTGCTGACCTTGTGGTTTGCAGTCTGATTCGTAACCACTATGCTACCAGAGCTCCTGGGGCTTGCAGTGGCCCCACAAAATTATCTCCTCACTGGATCTAACAGGTGCACTGTATTTTTGTTTGGGGGAGTTGTGGTTCAGGTTTGGTGTTTTTGTTTCATTGTTTTTGCTTGTTTAGTCCTTCTCCTACTACTACTTCTCCTTCCATTCCCTTGAATTTTACCCTTTCTATCTCTGCTTTTGTTTTTCCTTCTTTTCTTCTGTTTCTCACTTCCCGTCTTCTTTTCTTTCCCTTCTGATTTACTGTAATCTCTCTTTCTTTTTAATCTTTCATCTCCCTGGTTTTTCTGTTTATTTTTATTTCTTCCTTTTATTTCCTCCTTGATTTTTCTCTTCTAGAACTGCATTCTCCTGTCCCTTTTTTCTCTCTTTGTTGTTGTTGTTGTTATGTGCCATGTTATGTCAGTTCCGACTCATAGTGACCCTGTACAGGGTTTCCGAGGCTATAAATCTTTATGGGAGCAGAAAGCCTCATCTTTCTCCTGTGGAACAGCTGGTAGTTTTGAACTGCTGACCTTGAGGTTCACAGCCCGATTCATAACCTTAGCTATTCTTAAGTGTTTTTTTTTTTGTTTTTGTTTTTAATTATGTCTTTATTTTATTTCCCTCTTATTTTTCTTTAGCTTCATTTCTCTTTAGCACTTTTGCCTTTATACTTACTATATTCTTTTTTCTAGTTGCTGCCTGTTTTCATTCTTTTTTCTCTTTTCATTGTTGATTCCTTGTCTGTTTGTTCTGTTTTGTTTTGTTTTCTTGTGTGTTGGGATGAAGGGTTCTCTTTCCAACCAGATAGGAGACAGCAACCATGTCCATACATCCCAGCCACAACTTTACCTGCTGTAACTCCACCCACTTGGCAAAAGTTAATACCATCTCCTGTGCTATCTGATCAATGACAGACAGCTGCCAACACCAGCCAAACCCACCCCAAACTGAGAAGCACAAACAGTAAATGAGAACAGTGTGCATGCTTCCATTCTCTAACTACTCCCAAAAGAGACAATTGGTGAGACCCTAAGAACACATCAACATAGAGTCATCAATTAAATATATATATGACAACCCCACAATGCCTTGGGGACAACAGACAATTGTAGCTCACACAAAGAAATGAGAGAATGACTCAAATAAATACCCAAGATGCAGAACCAGAAAATGTTTCTGAAGAATAAAAGGTAATAGAATTAACTGAAAAAGAATTCAAGAGAATAATATTTAGGTACCTTCAAATGATTGAGAGAAAGACTAAGGAAAGCAAGGAGAACACAGGAAAAACTTAAGAAGAATTCAGGAAAACACAAAAGAAGAAACATATAAAATAAATGCAAATTTTGAAACAATTACAAAACCTGCAACTAGAAATCTGGAATATTAGTTCTAAGATTTCATAAATGGACAGTACATTAAAAGGGAAAAGGAATAGATTTGAAGCATTGGAAACACATATTAGTGAGTCTGAAGATAAAGCCCTCAATACTAGTAGGCTAACAGAACAATCAGAAAAAAAGAGTGAAAAAGATTCAAAGAAAGCCTAAAACTTTGAAAAGTTTAAAACTATGAAAAGGAACAACTTATGGGTGATTAGAATTCCAGAGCAGGAAGATACAATAAAAAGCACAGAGAAAATTGTTGAAGAATTGTTGGAAGAAAACTTCCCTACACCATGAAAGATGAGAAAATAAGCATACAAGAAGCTGAACAAACTCCAAACAGGAGAGATCGCAAAAGAAAATCACCAAGACATATCATAATCAAACTTTACAAAACCAAAGACAAGAAAGAAATCCTGAGAGCAGCTCAGAAAAATGAAAAGTTACCTACAAAGGAAAATCATAAAGCCTAACTTCTGATTTCTCAGCAGAAAACATGCAGGCAAGAAGGCAATGAGAATACATAAACAAAACCCTGAAAGAAAAAAGTGCCAATCAAGAATCATATACCCAGAAAAGCTGTCCCTCAAATATGATTGCAAAATTCCTGATAAACAGAAATTCAAGGAATTTGTAATGACCAGACCAACTTTACAAAAACTGCTAAAGAGTGTTCTTTGGACTGAGATCCAACAACAGCAGACAACAAGCTGAGATTATCATACATGACAACACCACCCAGAACTCATCCAGATAAAGAAGTATTTAAAGTAAAACAAACCTACAAGACTGAAAATAGGGAACCAGAGATACCAATTTATAATAAAGTCAGCCTCAAAGCAAAATGAAGGAATGGTATAGATACAGAGCTTCCAAATGGTAAGGAAATCAAGCAGATTTCAAGATAAAACATACTTTTAAATAGGGAAAAATTTAATAAATTTACCCTGAAAACTAAGACACCTGCACATAAAATTTTTTAAAAAGAGGAAAATCAGAAAGATTTAGTAAACCTTAGTGCAACAGAAATGAAAATGAAAAGCCACAAATTAAATGAACTCAGCACAGAAAATTATATGGAACAAAACAGTACCACACACACACAAAAAACCACACACAACAAAATGACAGCAACCAATTTATACCTCATATGCATGTGAAAGTTGGACAATGAATAAGGAAGACAGGAGAAGCATCAATACATTTGAATTATGGTGTTGGTGAGAATATTAAAAGTAACTTGAACAACCAAAAGAATGAACAAATCTGTTTGGGAAGAAGTATGGCCAGATTGCTTTTTAGAATCCACGATGGAAAGCTTTCATCTCTTGTACTTTGGACATATTGCCAGGAAAGGCCAGTCCCTTCAGAAGGACATTATGCTTGGTAAGAAAAGAGGAAGACTCTCAATGAGACAGATTGATACAATGGCAGTAACAATGGACTCAGTCATCACAGCCATTGTGAGGATTACGCAGGACCTTGTTACCCTGGAAGAAACTGTCGTGATGAGAAAAAGATTCCTATGAGAATTTGCTTGGAAATCATTACTTCAATGACCCTGAAGCCCTTATCTTGCTCCTTCAAACATCTCTTTATTCCCTAAACTCAAAGAACAATTAAAGGCAACATGATATTAGTTCCTCAGGAATGGCCAAAATGTCAGTATAAATCAAAGAGCACATTATTATTTGATGAAGGGTTGTTGTTGTTGTTATGAGCTGTGGAGTCAGTTCCGACTCATAGCGACCCTGTAATGGATTTCTGAGGCTGTAAATCTTTATGGGAGCAGAAAGCCTCCCGTGGAACCACTGGTAGTTTCAAACTGCTGACTGTGAGGTTAGCAGCCTGATTTGTAACTACTATGCTACCAGAGCTCCTTGAGGAAGTGTTAGAGAGATGGAAACGCCACCTTCGGAAGTGTACAGACAGACCTAGACGGAGGATTTGTGAAGAAACAATAGCTTCACATTTTGGTGTTTTTGTTTAATAAAAGTCTCTATGATTTTGTATTAATACTTTTTGACTTACCCTCATATATCTAGTCTTGTCTTCTTTTGAAATTATACGATATTTGTCCATTTGTGATTGACTTTTTCCACTCAGCATAACGTCCTCCAGATTTAGGCACATTACAATAATGAGAACTCATCATTATTCATTATTATCATGTCGAATTCTACTGTAAGTATATTGTTGTTGTTGTTGTTAAGTGCTGTCGAGTCCCATAGCGACCCTGTACAGGGTTTCCGAGGGTGTAAATCCTTACGGAAGTAGAAAGCCTCATCTTTCTCCCGCGGAGCGGCTGGTAGTTTCGAACCGCTGACCTTAAGGTTTGCAGCCCAATTCGTAACCACTACGCTAGATATAGCATACTTTATTTATCCATTCATCGATTGATAGGCACTTAGTTTATTTCCATACTTTTGCTGTTATGAATAATGCTTCAATAAATATGTTGTTAGGTGCCGTTGAATTCATAGCAACCCCATATATAACAGAACAAAATACTGCCAGGTCTGTGCCATCCTCACAATTACTGTTATGTTTGAGCCACAGTGTTGTTTGAGCCATCTCGTTGAGGATCTTCTCTTTTTCTGACTCTGTACTTCATCAACTCGATGGCACTTAACAACAATAAGAACAACAACTTCATCAATGAACATAGGTGTGCATATGTAGTCTGCATACGTGTATTGATGTCACTGCTGTTAGATCTCTAGGGTATATACCTAGGAGTAGAATTGATGAATCATGGTATTTCTATTACTAGTTATTGAAGAAGTGCCATTCCATTTTCCATAGTGGTTTTACCATTTTACATTCCCACCAGCAGTGGAGTCCTGATGTGGCGCTGTGGGTTAATGCGCCAGACTGCAAAGCTGTTTGAACTGCAAGGTCGGCAGTTCAAGCTCACCAGCTGCTCCTTGGAAACCCTATACAGGGTCACTATGGGTTGTAATTGACTAGATGGCACTTAATAACAACAACAGTCAGCAGTGGGTGAGGGTTTCTAATCAACTTTACTAGTATTTGTTTTCTGGATTTTGTTATTGTTTTTTAATCAGTACCAGTCTTGCTGGGGTGAAGTGGTATCTCTGTGTAGTTTTGATTTGCATTTGGTGGCACTGTGGGTTAGGCACTGGACTGCTGACTGCAGGGTCAGTCATTCAAACCCACAGGAGAAAGATGAAGCTGTCTGCTCCTATAAAGATTTACAGTGTCAGAAACCCCATGTAGGGTGGCTATGAGTCAGAATGAGCTCTGGTGGGTTTGTAGGATAAATACTGGACTGCTAACTGCAGGGTTAGTGGTTCAAACCCACCAGCCAGCCAATCTAGGAACCCCTATACAAGGTCATTATGAGTCAGAATTAACTCAATAGCACACAACGAGTCGGAACTGATTCAATAGCAGTATATTTGTTGTTTTTGGTTTAAATGGTTAATGAAGGTTCCTTGGTGGTGCAGTGGGTTAAGTGTTGGACTACTAACCAAGAAGTTGTTGATTCAAGCACACCAACTTATTCCACAGGAGAAAAACAAGGCAGTCTGCTTCTGTAAACATTTACAACCTGGAAAAACCTATGAGTCAGTTCTAAGTCACTATGAGAGGGAATAGACTAGTTGGCAATGGGTTTGGTTTATTGTTTTGTTCTCTGAACATGAGCATTTTTTCATGTGTTTACTGGCCTATTGAATGTTCTCTTTGGTGAAGTGTGTGTTCATATCCTGTGTGTGTGTGTGTGTGTGTGTGTGTGTGTGTGT